CCTTATAGCAAAACTGAGAGTAGAGCCCACACTTGTGTGATTCCAGAGCCCCTGGTGGGAACCTAATTGCTGTGCAGCATCACAACTGAAGGGTTTGATGAGCCTCATTCCCCTCTGTAATTTCGCTCAGCATTAGCATTAGGAACCCTGGATTTTGTTCTGTATTTATTTCCAGTAATTGACAACCTCCTTGCCAGTGTGTTTGTGCTCAGATGTTTGCTGAATTGATGCATGCCTGGGAAGGGTTGCTCCTCCTCATGGTTTTTGCATTGACCTTGAGTGGCTTCTCATTTCATTTCTTAAAACACAGATGATAATGCAGAAGCACTAAAAAGGACAAAGATGATCAAATAACCGAGTTAAAATGTGTTCTTCCCAAACGCCAATAACACAGCATTGGAATGAAAGTGTTGAACATAACAGATTGTTTTTTTCCTCTTTGGAAGAGTACATTTATTCATGAAGTGAAGGACAAAGGCATTTTGCTGTATTTTTATGAAAGAGAAGCATATATCAGAGGGCATAATGAAATTTTTGATAATACAGTTTTGCCTTTCTATGCCAAACCTGTCTTGCAACATACATTCTTAATGAAGGAAAAGATCAACAAGCCACAAACATAATTTTTTTTGTGTGAGAGATAAAGCAATTAAAAAATACAAAAGCAAGGAAAGAAAAAGGCTCCAACAAACTGGAACAATTACAAGCATTATTAAAAAATCAATAAAATCACACCTACTCTTAAGGCAACAAGTCTATTCGAGCATTCTTACAGACTATCTGATTATTACAAAGAAATCTCAGTTTGGAGGATTACAGTGAAATTAAATAAAACCACAGATGTTAGGACTCACACAAAGGATGTGAGTCAGCTTTTATGCTTTGCAAGGATGTGACCTCATGAAATATAGCCATATGCAGAGAGAGATCTGCAGAGGGCACCAAATTAACTGAAACAGTGTGGAATAAACAAGAATTGGGATTCAGTTTCAATCAAGTTACTGGTTAGTCATTTCAGTGTTGTTCATCAGCCAATGATACTGAGTTACAATGGAAGGCACAGGATTGTACTAGATAATGCAGAACGTGCTCTTCAAAGTCTCTGTCCTCCCCATTGATTTCAAAAATGTACTCATCTCTCAAGAGTCATATCAATTGCTACTTCTTCTGAGACATTATTCTTGATTTTTTTTTTTTAGGTAGGATGAATCACTCCCTTTTCCAGGCTGGACAGCAGTTTATTTAGTTATAAGCTCCCCACTGCATATCTTATAGCTCTTAGTCATTGTGTTGTCATGGTTTCTCTATAGCTGTCTCTGCAGGTTAAGAACCATGTCTTATTGACAAAGTCAGCATAGAAGCAGGTGGTCAAAGACCATTTTTTGAGAGATGAATAAAGGAACAAATCTAGATAATAAAAGAACAGTTGTCTTAAGCCAGCACCCACCTATGAAATGGGTTGATATCATTTATTCATTCAAGAAATATTTACTAAAAACCCATCATATTCCAGGGACCTTGTTAGGCTTAAGGGATACAGAAATAAGACATGATACCTACCTTAAATCAAGTAGAACTTAGTTTAGGAAATTTATAAACTTATTTAAAATACTTTACCATATGCCAAATTTAAGGTTATGTATTTTCTTTACCACAATTAAAAAAAAACTGGTTCCAAGTCTTTGCTGTTGTGAACAGTGCCCCAATAAATGTATCTTCTGCACATGTACCCCAGAAATTAAAATATAATAAATAAATTTTTAAGAAAGTTAAGTGCAAACATAAAGCACACAAAAAAACTGGCCTATTATCTTCAAAAGTGTCAAAGACAAGAAGAGCCTGAGAAACTGTTTCAGATTGAAAAAGGCGAAAAAGCTATGGAAACAAATGTAATTCCTGATACTGCAGCTGTATCCTTTCGCTATAAAGGAATTAACTGGAGCAATTGGGTTGAAGGATTAGATGGTAGTAGCATATTAGAATTAATTTTATGATTTTGATGACTTTACTGAGTATGTAGGAGAATATTCTCCTTGTAGAAAGTTTTTTGGGCATAAATAAAATATTACCAGATAGAAATCTTGATTTACATGAAGAATATTAGAAATGGTAAATATTAAATAAAAACAACAGCAAAATCTCTCCCGTAGAACCTCACAATGATGTTTCTAATTTCAGTCACTTCAGTGACTTGATGTTGCCAGAAAAGAGAGTTGGTTTTGTTTGTTTGTTTGTTTCTTGAAGAATGTTACATTCTTTTAACATCCAACAAAATCATTACGTGTGCTGGAACAGACCACTAGTGAGAGGTTTTCAAAGATGGATGCTCTCTAAGAGCCAGAGTGTGTCTTTGAATAGCATAGTTTCTCCAATTTCTCAAAAGCCAAAACCAGTCACAAAGTTTGTGACTTTGTTCAAAAGACTTGTTCCCAGGAAAAATTATTGCGCCATCTGGTAAGTCATGGGTAGGAAGGTGAAAATTTTATACTTTTATTTTTAAAGATAGCTTTAAAAAATACATATGTGTATATGAGTATAAGGAAAAATGAATATTACAATAAGAATGCACAGAGAGAACTGCTTTAATATTTAATGTAGTCCTTCTATCTCTTATCATGCATATGTAACATGAATGAATTTTGCCCTACAACTATATGGGCAAGAAGCATGACATATTTTTGTTTCTCCAGGTGAAATTAAATGAGTCTTTGCAAACTTTTCTTTGCATTCCTTTCACTATCTTATTTTCCTAGGATTCCACAAGGAATCTAGAGATTTCAATGGTACCCCAAAATGAAGGGCCATCTTTAATTTATCATAGCTCCAAATGAAACATCCACTGATTAGGCGATGTGGATCTGTCTTCTCCATTCTGCTGTATTAAGGAGCTTTAACCTGTGGCCCCAAAGCCACAGCTCTCAACATCACGGCTCTTCATGTGGAGAGTTTCCAAAATCTATAGTTCACCTGGACAGATGTCCTGTCTCTTGGCCACTCTCCTCTCATGAATCTCCTCCAAATCCCCAACCCTCTTCATTTGGCTTAGGATTCTCCTTTGTGGCTGGAGATCTCAGGGTTGTATTCTTCACCCTATACAGAGATGTTAGCTCTTTGCCTTTGTGAGCCTTGGCTTTTAACAACAAAACAGCTTGCTTATCTTGTGGAGATCTCTGGATTTCAGGATTCTTCTCCCTGAGGACGAGTGTTATATATCTATTTCTTTCTGATTCTTCTGCAATGGTAAAAGTACCACATATCTTAGTAAATTATCCTGCCACAAATCTCATAACTTTGTATTTTATAGTATTTAATTCTTCCAGCTTAATTCAGTACATATTTGTTGTGGGACTAACAACAAATATTCTATGTGGGACCCAACAATGAAGAAATTTTCTGCAGTTGAGAAATGCATTGTTTGGTGAAGACTGTAGTTCCCCATATGGCTCTGTGGATTGTCTGTGGTCCATATGAGTGATGGTCTATAAGTGACCATACTTCTGAGAAAGAGCCTCTCTTTTTCCTTTGATGTTTCTGTTTCTCTCTGCTGCTCCACACCCCCCAGCGGACACACACAAGCACAGGTGCAAGTTACTAGCATCTGTGATTCTGCATAGGGAAGTAATTTAGCGATTCTTTAGACTTAGTGATGCCAAGAACCGCAGGTGTTTCTGAAACCTTCCTTTCAGTTGATTTCAATTCTTTTCTCTCTTATAGCAGGAGTGGGAGTCATTGGTGTCCGTAGATACCCGCTGGGTACAGAGACTAGTTCCAGATGCTGCTATAATATGTGGCTCACCCAGGCAGAAATATCCCTCATTAAGACTAAATTCTGCCAGCAGCAGTGCTTACTTGGCTTTTCCTACTGTGTGGTAACTGAATACTGACTATGATTCTTCTATAGAGCCACCCAATTCCAACATGAGAGCATCCCAGGAACAATTGTTTAATTGGGTCTTTATAAGAACAACAAAATAACGTGTTCAAAGTGCCAACATTTGGAATGAGAATTCCATTAAGTATGTATGTATAATATAAATAGATGACATGTATTGAATGCTTATTATATACTAGGTATAGTGTTAAGTGTTCTTGTATTAAATTAACCCACTTAATTCTCATTACCATTTGTTCTATTGAACTTGGGCACAACCACTCGAAGCTTGGGCTTACTTATAAATAAAAGACAATATAGTATCAACCTCATGAAGTGATGAGAATTAAGTGGGTTAATTTAATGTAAAAACACTTTACACTGTACCTAGTCATTTGTTATTTATAAGTAAGCCGACGCCCTAGTGGTTATGCCCAAGGTCGACAGACAAATGGTTGACAGACTAAATATTCTGGTCTCAGCTCCTATGTGGTTAAGCATGAGATTTTACTGTCTTGGAATATGTGCAAAACTTTAAATGATATTCAATATGGTTCTGAACTTAAACTATTAGTTGCTTCCCTAGAGAAAGTGCCCGTATCATTCTTGTCTTTACATAGTCTGCATTGGAATTACCGGTACATTTTTTAGAGTACTTTTTACAGTTTACAGAAAACTTCTTTTAGTTATTGTACTTCTATTTGCTCTGAGTTACCTATCAGTACTATCCTTATTCACTGATAGCTATGAAAATTTGTTTCCTCATGTGCTAAATGCCTGCTACTAATTATTCATGATAGGGCCCATTAGTTTTTCTATAGCTGCTGCAATAAATTGCTGCAAACTTAGTGGCTTAAAACAACACAAGTTTGTTATCTTACAGTTTTGGAGTTTAGGAGTCTGACTTTAGCCCAGGTTTTGCTGGGCTAAAATCAAGGTGTCAACAGTGCTGTGTTCCTTCTGGAGGTGTTAGAGGAGAGGCCACTTTTCTGGTTCAGCTTCTAGAGGCTACCCATATTCCTTAGATAGTGACCCTCTTCATCTAAAGTCAGCACCTGCTGGCTAAGTCTTTCTTATGCTGTCACCCTGACACTGATTTTGCTGCCTCCCTCTTCCCTTTATTTTTTAAGAGTTTATAAACGCCTTTTAATACCTTGCTGATAAAATAGTAACATTCCATCTTTGCAATCTGATACGGAATACAGGAAGATACTGGTAAAGGCTTTGATGTGCATATCTATTATAACCAGGTAATCAGAACACACACGAAACACCGACTTTAGTGTTACACCATACCATCTTCTCAGAAAAGCCAGCTTCAAGCTCTACTGGGTAGGTAAGTAGCGTCCAATGTTTAAAGACTGGAGAGCAGGGGAAAAAGATGAAAGGAGAAAGCAGCACACACTTCAAAGCCCACTTTTAAGCACACGACATTATGAATATTAAAATTAAAGGATGCAAACAAAAAAGGCAATTCAGCATTTTCAGAAAGAGCATTTGGGACTATTCAACTCATAAGGAGACTGTGCTTGGGGCCATTCACTCTCTCCAGCTTCTCAAAGTGTTTCCTGGCATTGCGAATGTTGATCAGGGTGGCCGCAGAAGGGATGGACGGATCTGACATGACCACCGTGACATACGTGTTTGAGGTGAAGATGTCCATAAAAGCTGCAAAGTTGGAATTCCTAACTTCCATGCTCTGAAAGGAAGTGGCCAGTTTACTGCAGCTCAGCTTGAACTGCTTGATGATGTTGCTGATCTTCTCAAAGCGGTGGATGTCACGCTGCTCTTTGCACTGGTAGTGGGAAATCACCAAGAACATAGCTCTTTCGAACAGCAGAACTTCATCGGCCTCGATGATTTGGGCAAAATTCCTGAGGTTCATCTCCAGCTGCTGAACGTTGGGAATTAGCTGGTAGATGATGCTGGACCAGGCTTTGTAGAGCGTCTCATCCCAGATGGATGTTCAAAGACAAGCACACTCCAGCGGGTGAGACAGACGCCTCAGGTCTTCCGCTCGCTCCTTAAAAACCAGGTCACGCTGATCCTGCTGAACCAGGTCCATTTCGTGCACCAGGCAGAAGATGTTGGCGTCAGGAGAGTTCTGGAGGATGACCTCCAGACATGACTGGCAATAATGCATATCCTTTTCCAGTTCATGGCTCTCCACATCAAACACGTAAATCAAAACCTCTGTGTTATGGAAGATGTGGTCTCGCTGGCTGGTGAAGTAATTTTCCATGAAGGTGTCCTGACAGCCACAGTCAGCTCTTCTTAACCTGCTCCCAATGCTGGATGCCTTCAGGTTCACCGCTGATGTCGGCTCCATCCTGACCGAAACCTTCACCAACACAGGCTCTGGTGACAGCTGCTCTCCCTCCACCTGAGTTGGGGTGGGGGCGAAAGGGAGGGCAAGCCCTTGGGATGCCATCTGATGCCCTGTCCAATGTGAGGACTGCCTGGGCAGGGTCTGCCCGTCCCACCCCTCGCTGCCCTTGGGAGCCCTACACTCCACTTGGAGTCTGGATGGACACATGGGCCTGGAGCTCTGAAGCAGCCTCACTCTAACTTCGTGTCCACACTCTGTGGAAACCCCAGACTGGGACATAAGGAGGCCTAGGAGAGCTGAAACAGTGTTTGTGGTGGAGAGGCAGGACTGGCCAGAGTGACAGACATACGGTGATCCAGGAGGCTCAAACAGAAGACACGTCAGCTTTGTTGTGACTTGATTTTTTTTTTTTTTTAACTCTTGTACAAAACTGATCTAATTTTTCACTCCTGCTCCAAGGGCTGGGCTGTGGGTGGGATACCGGGATTTTGAGCCACTGGGTTTTCCCTCAATTTTTCCCCCTTTACTCTCGTATTTTTCTCTCGTTAGACTCCCTCAGACCTGTAACCAGCATTGTCTCTTTTTTTCCTTTCCTCTCTTTTAAACCATGCATTATAACTTTGAAACAAAAAACAAAAACAAAAACCAAAAACCTGTTTGATTAAATTGGGCCCAACTGGATAATCCAAGACAGTATCTTTATGTTAGAATAAGCATCAACCTCAATTTTGTCAACAGCCTTAATTCTCCTCCCTTTAACAACAGTTTCACATGTTCTGGGGATTCACACATGAAATGTGGACATCTTTGGGGACTCTATTCTGTCTGCACATGAAGAGATAGTTTACTTCCCTTTATTGGTGTTTAAGTTGCTCATCTCTGAACTCTGATTTAAAGGCTGTCTCCCTCTCTTCATTTTTCTGCTGCCCTCTGATAACCTGAGAGATTATATTACTTTTATTAAAGGGGAGAAATACTTTTTTGATTGGGGGTGAGCTAAAATTGCCTGTGTTGAGGAGCATAGAGGGAACTCATAATGTGCCTTGTGTAACCCTAATACAGTCTCCTTGCTGAAGCACCTAGAAGTCACTTTGGTTCCTATCTTACTGCTTCTCATCCAGTATGACATGAATTAAATTATCCAAGGTTCTAGGATGGCTTAACTACATAGAGGCTAGGGCCTGGGGCAATAGGGTTGGATAGGTAATTGACAACTCCAATTTTCAATGAATAGAGGGTCATTTTTGAACAGGCATTATTTGTAATAATTAACATTTTTAGCTTATGGAGCTTTAGGTAATCTGACCTAAACCACTCGTATGAGAAAACCAAATTACAGGAGATGAGAAGACTTTTCCAAGGTACTATTGAAAACCGCAATTACTTTTGCACCAACATAATACTTTCAACAAATTGCAGGGTTGAAACTGGATTCACATGACTACTTTTCTACCTCACTGCATTTCTCTCCCTTAAGCAGTGAGCCCTTTTACACTGGCCCAGGTGCCTTCAGTGACTTGCCAAGTGTCACAAGGCTCTAAGCTGTAAGGGTTGGCGTCTGTGACTCTTGTTTCTTGTCCTCTAGTGTTTTTTCTTCTACAGAATGACAGATCATAGAATGCAATACTCTTGGGGATGTGTTCCAACTCTGGATGAGGTGTTCCATGTATGTTAGTGAATAATGAGATCTGAGTAACTCAATGGACAAGGGCCAATGTTGGTGACAGAGGTATTGGGTAATAACAACCGCTGTTTTTGAACACATTTTTCATGCCAGGCCAGGCACTGCACTGACCGCATTACAGGTATTTTATCACTAATCCTCAAAACAGCCTTATGCATCCAAGTGGTAAATGTTACTGTTTGTCCATGTCTCATTATCTGGTTTTTCCAGGCATAAAGAAACCTATACTTGCGAGCCCCGTGGTGGAAAAAGGTTACAGGCTCACAAGCCACTTTTGGCCAATGACACATTTACAGAAGGGACAGACTTCACTTCAAGCATTGCTATGGTCCTCCAGGCTCTCCCCTCCTCTACAGAGGCCCTGGTCCTTCTGGATGAAAGAATGGAAAGTGATTGTGAATGGTTGCACCCGCCGTCAACTGGGACACGCAGCTTGAGCAAGAAACACACTTGTAGGGTGCAGCCCCAGAGCTTTTGGGATTGTAACCATACAACCTAGCATGAACCTTGTCCATGCTAATAGAAGTGGGCATTATTCTCATTCGCCAGTAGGAGCAGACAAGTAAATAGCATCCTTCTAGATAAGAACAGGGGTAGAACAAGTCCATGCCTGAGTAATTGCAGGGCCTGTACTATGAACCTACATCACTTCACTGTCTCCTAGTAGAAGAGAGGCTAGCAGAGAGGCTGCCCAGCAGAAGGATAAGCTGCTGTTGAGGAAGCATTTGCACGTTCGTTCAGCCACGTCTGGTATCTTTGGGGTCTTTTTCATTCTGAGTCTTCAGAGCTTCTTTCTTGTCTAAATTCCTTTGTTCCCTTCTTTATTCTGAACCTGTGCCCTCAAATACCTTCAAACTCTTTAGAAAAATTAATCTCACTTCTGGTTTTCCCTCCACACTTCAGGGCATTTTTGCACGTGCCCTTGAATGATTTTCAACTTTAAATAAGTCCCCCGTCTCTGTAGTCCCTGAGATGTGTGTCTGCTTCTATCCTTTTTATGGAAGAAAACACTTTGTTCTAGACAAACAACAAACAGAGAGGAGGGAGCTAGTTTGGAAAGGCAGCGAACAAAGAGAAACTATTTAGCAGAGACAGGGAGCAACACAGATGCATCAGTTAAGATGGAGTAGAGAAAAGAGGCATGAGCAACAAGACATCTAGAGACCTGATCATCTTAGACTCACTTTTCCAGGGGTGCCAACTTGAGCTGTGTTGTCACCCTTCATGCTGGGAAGGCCCTGGTGGACAGGGCCTGTGGTAGGGGGTAAGGAAGCTGCTCTGTGTTTGACTTAGTCCAAGGGAATGACTGTGGCTGAAAAAAAGTAATTGTTGAAAAACAGGTTGGGCTCTGTTTCCGTGCAGCAGGGCTCTTCTGGTTTAAGAACCAGACCCAGCTGCTTGCATAAGGCTTATGGCTGTAAGCCATAAGAAGGTAAGATGCTGCTTCAGTCAGTGATTTTAAATGCCGAGCACAGTACCTCATATGTACTGATATTTTAGCTGATAAAACTTGGGAGCAGACAAGTTAAATAAATAACATCCCTGTAGATAAGAACAGGGATGCAACAAATCCATGCCTGACTAATTGCAGAACCTGTGCCATGAATCCACATCGCCACACTGTCTCCTAGTAGAAGATAGCCTAGCAGGAAGGCTGTCCAGCAGAAAGATAAGCTGCTGTTGAGGAAGCATTTGCACATTTGTTCAGCCAAGTCTGGTGTCTTTTTTTTTTTTTTTTTTTTTTTTTTTAGTGGTAGAGGGGTTTGGGGTTTGGGCCATAAGTGACAGAAGTCACAAAGTGAGAGGAGAGAGAGCTGCACTAGAGGGATTTTCAATCTTCATTTTCTCCCAGCCCCCTCTGGAGAAAACAGTCTTGGAAGGGTTATAAATGCTCAACAAGGTAACATGCTGCATTGGTAGCAAGCTTTTAGTACAGCCCAGGAAGGCGGAATTAAAGCCTATGGGGAGACTTTCATGGTCAGGTATCAGGGAAGAAAATATAAGACTGTTCCTAACAGACCCACAAAAAAGGAAAGATTTTAAATGTCACATAACTGGAATGAGTTTAAGCAGAAGCGAGGAGCACTGTAAAAGGGAATCAAACAACTGATAGGCAGAATTCCCTAAACTGTGCCCTGTATTCCGTCTCCTTCAGAATCAACTAGAATTTCATTGAAAATGTATATTTCTGGGCTCTACCTCAGACTTAGCATTTGAGAACGTCTTTGGGTAGAGGCTAAAATCTGAGTTCTCTTGCAAAATCTTTTATGCTCTAAGAACCACTCTTGGAGAGTTACGGGAGGATGACTTGCTGAAATATTTTTCAATTCTGAGACTTTGCCACTTAGGTTCTAGAACTGCTTTTGCTGTTGACAGAATATGCAACTTTTTGATTTCTTAATTTATCTATCTGGATGATCTCTAATGCATTTAAGGACTTAAAAATTGATATGTATTCCTGGACCCTACCCCTGAACATTCTGATTCAGTAAGCCTAGGGTAATTTATTCAATCAGCCAGGCTTGGAAACCATTGAACTAAATTATCTCTAAAAGTTTTCTAGCTTTAAAATTTTATGAGTTTATATTATTTAAAGTTATCGAAAATACACTCTGACCCATCTTATCCATATCTCCTTCACCAGGATGTTTTAGGAGCTGGCTCCCTTTTATGAACTAAATTCAGGCTATTTTATTTAATTTTCAAAATCGCAAAGAGGTAGACATTTTCCAGGAATATATATTTTTTTCTCTAAAATGTAGTACCAAATTACTGTTGCATCAAAAGCTGTTCAAGTCAACATCATTACAATAACCTACATTGTGATGTCCTCTTACAGGAGAGGGTGTTCTCTAATTGTCAGGGACTGAACTCTGAAACTAGCATGGCTCCTTGATGATGAGAATGATGAAAGAAGATTGGCTATTCTTTGTACGGTGTCTGTGGACAGCACTATGGGATTTTATGGAGTGGGGAAGTCTTTTGATCATCTTTAAAATTTCTTCTCCCAGAACAGGAATTAGGGGCCACAACACATTTTCATCACAATGCTTTGCACCTTACTACCCTGGGGCAAAAATTTTCCTAGAAACACACAAGTCAGGTATACATGACCTCTATATATAGAGAAAACTTTAAAAGAGGAAATTGGTAAATAATGCATGTTTTTCTACATGTGGCAGATATATAGCCTGTATTTTGGAAGAGACTCAGAGAATGTAGTATATATTATCAGAAAAGGAAAAATTATTGTGTGGTATTATAGAGGATCTCTGGCTCCATAAAAAAAAATTCTCAAGATTCTCATCATACAGAATTAGAGGGTTTCTAACAAGGTAATCTCATCACCATCAAAGTGAGTTATTAAATATAATTTCATATGCTGATGGCTTTTTTCCTAAACAAAGTGTGGATCGATGTCCACAAATGACCTCTGTCATTGTATATTATTTGACTTTTCATTTGATTTTTCCCTCTATTCACTAAGCATTTATTGAGAATCTACTGCATATGAAGTACCTTG